AGAAGGTTTTCTTTCTCTCTCTCTGTCAGCCCTGGGGGAACGTCCTTGAATATTCAGCTTCTACTTTCTGGTTCCACAGAGATCTGCACATATCTTGGCATCTATCTCATCCCATCTCTGCTTGCTATTGTTGTGGTTGTTAGGTGCCATCGAGTTGGCTCCGACTCATAGCGACCCTGTGTACAACAGAACGAAACACTGCCCGGTCCTGTGCCAGCCTCACAATCCTTTCTATGCCTGAGTCTATCACTGCAACCACCGTGTCAATCCATCTCATTGAAGGCCTCCCCTTTTCCATTGACCCTCTACCTTACCGAGCATGATATTCTTCACCAGGAAATGTTCCTGTCTGACAACATGACCAAAGTTGGTGAGAGGAAATCTGGCCATTCTCGCTTCCAAGGAGCATTCTGGCTGCACTTCTTCCAGGACAGATTTGTTTGGTACTTGCTAGCATTCATTTCATCTCTTTTTATATCTCAGAACAGATTGATTCAAGATACCCCCACTTTCATCCTGCCTCATTAACATAACAAAGACAAGCCATTGCTAAATGAGATTATAACCATAGATATGGGGTTTAGGATTTACAAGACATATTTAGAGGGACACAGTTCAATACACAACAATGATACATGAGACCATTCTGATTTTTGGAAATTTCAGGGGTAGAGGGAACAATTTATCCTTCTATATTGCTCAGATTTCTTTCAGCAGAAATTCAAAGAAACTTCACTTTTCAAGGCATAGGTTAGGAGTTCCATAAGGTAGCTCTAAGAGGGGCCCAAAAGCAGGCCTATCTGAAAGGCTCAAAACATCTATGAAAATAAAAGAGGTGGAAAAGGATTACTGAAAAATGGTATGTGGGCACATATTGTTTATTATCTGTACACTGCTCCATGATTTCCCCGAGTGCATATTTGGCACTCTATTCTTTATTAGGATTACAGTGAACAGTAGCTCTTCAATCATTTTTCTGGAGTGGTGAGTAGATCTTTCCTAATTCCATTTCACAGGTTGGGTGACCTTTCTTGTTCTTCACCCTATCAACACAGCACTGTGACAGTATCCTTCTTGCATGGGGCCTATAGTCTAAACCCTTCTCCAAGTGTGGATGCAAACTCAAGCCTCTGACACTGTCTTAGTTGGCTTCTCTAGAGAAACAAACCCAGTGATAGATAGATAGATAGACAGATAAACATTTCAAGGAAATAGCTTGCACAAATTTAGGGGCTTTTAGGTCCCAAATCCATATGTCAAGTGGCAGGATGGAGACCTCTGCTGCCTCATGGGAATGCCAGGTCAGGTGAATCCAAAATCTGCAGGTCTGGCAGTAGGCCAGAGACTTCTGCAGGCTTATTTCCTAATATCCAGAGGTCAGGTGATAAGAAAAATGTAGAGGAGAGAGAGAGAGAGTGCTTTGCCAGAACATCCACTTACAGTGAAACTTGTGAGAGACTGAATTCTACAGGAGTACCTTGCTTCCCTGATCTCATAAGTTTTCTAACTCTGACAGGGTTCAGTCTTTTTCTATCATTCATTTTACTGGAAAATATTTGAGTTTTCCTTCTCTGATAAGTTTCTGACTTACGCACGTTCTGGCTTTCATAGGTTTTACTGTATATTCTGGAGGCAGATCACACTTCCAAGGAAACCTTCCTTTCAACTGTTTGGTTGATCACATCAGATCACATTGTGGAGGCTGAAAATATTACATTACATTACAGAACGGAAGAACAACCAGTCCGTATCTAGCCAAAGCACGAAGAATCACGGCCTAGCCAAGTTGGTACGTAAACTTAATTATTGCAGTCTATAAGGTCTGATTCTAGTTCTTAGGAGTCATTTGGCATCATCTCCCTACCCTGTGTGGGTGTTGAACACCAGCATTTCTGTGTCCTTGGAACAGAAGATGAGACCAGTATAGGGTGGTACAAGATGGGAATAGGGGTTTCTTCCCTAACAACTCAGTTTACTCTTTAGACATGGAGTTGCACTTTCTTACTTGCTTTCTTCATCTACCTTCAGCCCATTTGCCCTCAAAAGCACTTGACTGCTAACCAGAAGGCTGGCGATTCAAACCCACCAGCCACTCCTCGGAAGGAGGATGGGGCAATCTACTTCCATAGTGATACTGCCTCGGAAACCCAAGGAGTTATGAGTCAGGTCTGACTCAACGGCACATAACAACAACAAGAACAAAATCATCTAGGGTCTTATAACCTCCAAATACAATTGGTAATTTTCAGATTGCATCTCACTTCATTTCTCTGAAGCATTTTGCACCAATAGCTCCTCCTTCTAAAAACTATCCTATCTTCCAGAATTTGGTTCATCATTACTTTCTGGTTTATATGTTGACTTTTTAGCATTCTCCTGGCTATTAAATGTTGATATTGTCCAATGTATTGATTTTCGCTATTTTGCTTTCTCGTATTTAAAAAAAAAAAAGCTAAAATATATTTTTTTAATTAAAATCTTTAAACATATACAAAAATGGAATAAATATTGACAAAGTAATACTAAAATTCATATGGAAATTCAAGAGATCCAGAACAACCATAACAAAATTTGGGATATATTTTGAGAATTCATGCTTCCAAATATCAAAACTTAGTACAATGGTACAATAACCAAGATAATGGTCCTGAATAAGATTATACATATAGAGCAATGAAATAGAATTGATATTCAAGGGGGAAGAAAACCAAAAACAAAAAACCACTCATACTGACAGTCAATTTATTTTTAACAAGTGTCCCAAAACAATGGGAAAAAGTAGTCTTTTTAGCAAATGGTGCTGGACAACTATATATCCACATGCAAAAGAGTGAAGTTGGACCCCTACCTCACACCCTATACAAAAATTAACTCAAAATGGATCAAAGTTCTAAATATAAGAGCTAAAACTTTTAGAAGAAAACATAGGAGTAAATTTTCATGACCTTGAAATTGACAATAGTCTTTTAGATATGACACTAAACGCACAAGCAACCTAAGAAATAAATAAATAAATTGGACTTCATCCAAATTAAAAATATCTGTTCTTCAAAGGACACCATGAAGAAAGTGAAATGGAACCCATTGAATACGAGGAAATATTTGTTACGTCCCTGATAAGGGACTTGTATCTAGAATATATATATATATAAAACTTTTACAACTCACATCATCCAATTGAAAAATGGGCAAAGGATCTGAATAGACATTTCTCCAAGGGAGACATACACATGGTCCAACAGCACATGAAAAGATCCTCAACATTATTATTCATCAAGAAAATGAAAATGAAAATCACAATGAAATATCATTTTATACCTTTTAGGATGGAAGAACAAAAAAAGATGGATAATAACAAGTGTAGACAAAGATGTAGAGAAAGTAGAATTTTGTACACTACTGGTAGTAATGTAAAATGGTGTGACACCTTTAGAAAACAGCCTGGCAGTTCCTTGAAAATTTAAACATAGAGTGAGATACAACTTTATATCCACTAGGATGACTGTAATAAAGAAAAGGCAGATAATAACAAGTGTTAGCAAGGATACAGAGAAGTTGGAACGCTCAAACACTGCTGGTGGAGATGTAAAATGGGACAGTCACTTTAGAAAACCTTCTGACAGTCCCTAAAAGGCTAAACATAGAGTTACTATTTTGTCGTGTGTCAGAAGTTGATTCTGATTCATAGCAACTCCATATGACAGAGTGGAACTGCCCCGTACAGTTTCCTAGTCTGTAATCTTTGTGGAAGCAGAGTACTAGGTCTTTTCTCCCACTGAGCCACTGGGAGGGTTTGAACCACCATTCTTTTGGTTAGCAACCAAACACTGAACTGTCACACCATTAGGACTCCTTCGAGTTACCATGTTGTTGTTCTTAGGTGTCGTCCTGTTAATTCCAACACACAGTGACCCTATGAACAAAATATTGCCCAGTCCTGTGCCATCCTCACACAGTGGGTGTGTTTGCGCCCATTATTGTAGCCACAGTGTCAATCCATCTTATTGAGGGTCTTCTTTTTCACTGACCCTCTACTTTATCGAGCATGATGTCCTTCTCCAGGGACTGGTCCCTTTTAATAACATGTTCAAAGTACATGAGACAAAGTCTTGCCATTCTCGCTTCTAAAGAGCATTCTGGCTGTACTTCTTTAAGAAAGATTTGTTTGTTCTTCTGTCAGTCCATGATATACTCAATGTTCTTTGCCAGCACCACAATTAAAATGAATTAATTCTTCTTCAGTTTTTCTTATTTATTTTCATTCCATTTATGTAAAATGCCCAGTTTTCACATGCATATGACGCGATTGAAAATATCTTGGCTTGGATCAGGTGCACCTCAATCCTCAAAGGGACACCTTTGCTTTTGAACACTTTAAAAAGGTCTTTTGCAGCAGATTTGCCCAATACATTATGCCGTTTCATTTCTTCACTGCTGCTTCCACGAATGTTGGTGGTGCCAAGTAAAATGAAATCCTTGACAACCTCAGTATTTTTTTCTGAAAGATGTTAATTTGTTAATCTTATGATTTAATTAATTCTAATCAAAGAACAAATGAAATTTTTACACAGAAATCTTTAGATTTCTAAATCGAATAACAAGTTAGCAAGCTGATTAAGCTTAAAAGTTTTAAAAATGCATAACTGTTTAAATTATTTAACATTAAATATTGAATATTAAAATCAGGAGGCTTCACGCATACTTTCCCAATAAGCAACACCCCCTCGGGATTTAAAAACCAGGGGTACGGCTGGGCCAAAAGCCCAGCCCAAAAGCAAGTACCCTGGGGAGCAAGAGGGGTAGAGTTCAAGTTCAGAGGACCCATTTCTTTTCACCATTGGAACCCGGAAAGGGATCCCATTGGCCAGGAAGTTTATTTGGCTCCTCAGAGCCTTTGCAAAGCTCTGGGGTCATCGCATTACCCCGCCCAGAGCAAGTTGGGGCGGGAGGGAACTTCGCGGTGACCTAGACGGGCCGGGACCCGCAGTTCGAGCCGGGAAATGGGCCCGCGAGCCCGGCCCGTGCTTCTCCTTTTGATGCTCCTGCGAACCGTGGCCCCGCACAGGCAGCCGCCGCGTGAGTTCGGGACCTGCGGGAGGACTGGGGACGTGGCGGGGTAGGAGCAAATCCAACCCAGCTTTCCATAGCGCTCCGGAGTTTGCAAAGTCCGGAAGAACCACGCAGCCTCACCTGCAATCCCTCCTCTAAATTTTTGTGCCGGAATAACGCGAGGGGACATGTCCACTCTGGTGGAGATGAGAGTCTTCTTTCCCCCAGCACTTTGCACCCCCACCCCTGCTGTCCTTGCTTTTCTGAGTGACACCCATTCCCTCCCTCGACCCGCTCGCACCGTTATGCTTTTAAAAATATATCTCTTAGTTTTGCTTTTAAGCGGAGCTGGGTCTGGGGGTCCTTGGACTGGGATCTGGGTTTTCGTGTTTCTAATGGTGGTTGTGCCATTTTTCTCTGTCGTCCCAAAACAGGAAGTTCTTTTCACTAAGTGCGACCTTGGCCCAGGCGCCCCCTTGGTGTTTATGCACCAGGGCGCTGCGAAGGGCTGGGAGACGGCTGAGTGAACCCAAGGTGGAACCCGTCCACTACAGAACTATTAGTGCTGGGGGCGTAGCAATTTGGTGGGTATGTGGGAGTGAGGATCTGAGCTCTACCCTACTCCCACTCCTTGAGTGAGACGGGGATGGGAGGAGCCTGAGAGAGACTCATCCATGGCTTTTGCAGACTGGGTGATGGGCCCTTTCCTGGGGAAAAAAAAATAGTGTTAGTTACAGCTTCCCTTTCCTAGCTGGGCTTTGTTGATTTGCAGTATTAATGTGCTGTATGAGGGTGGTTTCTATCAGATATCAAATTGATGATGATTAACACTTAGTAATGAGTTAAGATTTTAAATTTCATTCATATCTGTGATTGTATTGCACACTAGCTATGCGTTTGGGAGATGTTAGATGCCGTTTAGTCTGTTCTGAGTCATAGCAACTATGTACAACAGAACAAAACACTGTCCCGGTCCTGCACCAACCACAAAAACAGTGCTGTTTGAGCCCATTGCAGCCACTGTGACAATCCATCTCATTGGGGGTCCTTCTCATTTTTGCTACTTTACCAAGTATTATGTCATTTCCCAGGGACTGGTCACTCCTAATAATGTCCAGAGTAAGTGAGATGAAGTCTAGACATCCTTACTTCTAAGGAGTATCCTGGCAGTACTTCTTCCAAGACAGATGCATTCATTCTTTTGGCAGTGCATGGCACACTCAATATTCTCCACCAACACCACGATTCAAAAGCATCGATTCTTCTTCTGTCTTCCTTATTCGTTGTCCAGCTTTCACATGCATATGAGTTGATTGAAATCACCGTGGCTTGGATCAACACATCTTAGTCCTCAAAGTGACAGCTTTGCTTTTGAACACTTTAAGGAGGTCATTTACAGCAGATTTGTCTAATGCAACACATTGTTTGATTTCTTGACTGCTGCTTCCATGAGCATTGATTATAGATCCAACTAAAATGAAATCCTTGACAACCTCAGTATTTTCTGCCCCTATCATGATGTTGCTTATTGGTCCAGTTGTGAGGATTTTTGTTTTCTTTATGTTGAGGTGTAATCCATACTAAAGGCTGTATGCAGTCTTTGATGTTTTTCAGTAAGCGCTTTAAGTCCTCTTCCAGATGAGAGCTACTAACAGCTGCATTTTACTAGCAATTAAGAGTCACTGGGTGATGCAACAGGTTAATGAACTCATTGCTAATTGAAAAGTGCCTCAGAAGAAAGTCCTGGCAATATTTGTCCAAAAAATCAGCTATCGAAGACCCTATGGAGCACAGCTCTAACAAACTATGACAAACGTAGAGTCTCCATGAGTCAAAATGGGCTGGACAGCAACTGTTCTGTAGGTTTTTGTTTGTTTTTACTAGCAGTTAACTGGCCCTAGGGTTAAATAGGTTGGGCAATCCTACTTCCGTAGTGATACTGCCTCAGAAACCCAAGGAGGGGTCGCTATGAGTCGGGTTTGACTTGACGGCACATAACAACAACAACAACAACAACAGGGTTAAATAACTTTCCCAGGTAAATGTTAAGTAGTATATTACCACTCCTCCTAAGCATAGCTGACAATGAATGATCACGCCCTCACTATTGCAAGACACTGAGGTGGTTTTGCAGACATTCTCATAGGAGTCTCAGAACAACCCGAGTTCAGGTATTATGTGAAAACTGTGAGAGCCGGAACTAGATCAGAGTGCCTTCTTTTTCAGGATCTCAGAAATTTTCTGCATTTTTTTTTTTTTTTTTTTAGTTTTCCTTCTCTGACAGGTTTCTAACTTACACAGATTCTGGCTTTTGCAGGTTTTACTCTATTTGGATTCCCATATTACAGATAGCGATAATGAACATGACCTGCTCACTGATAACCTAGCTCAACATTCTACAGGCTTTTGCAGCAGAACCTGTCTCGGCTCCAGTTGTGATTCTTGAACGCTGCATTCATTGCATTAGAAGTTGAATCATAAAATTTGATGTTGAACAGAAATATTCATTCATTCACAAGTATAAACTGTGTTGTACTATTCTAGGCCCAGAGTAACAGCAGGGAATTGAATCTTGTGTATTCCAATGGGGAAGATGACAATAAACACATGACCAGGTAGTGAGGGATACTATGAAGACATGAGGAGTCAGGAAGTCAGGGCAGGCCTCTCTCTCAGGCTGATGTTAAAGAGCAGGGAACTGAGGAAAATGATTGTGAGGCTGACTGTGACCGAGCTTCCCAGGCAAACTGAAGCACAGTGGGCCTGGCAAGGAGGGTTGAAGCACAATTTCATAACCTCAGCATTATTAAAATTTGGGGCTAGGTAATTTTTTGTTGTAGAGAACAGTCCTGTGCATTGTAGGGTGTTTAGCAGCATCCTTGGCCTCTACTCACTAGATGCTAGTGGTAATCCCCTAGTTGTGATGATCAAAATTCATCACAGATATCCCCTGGAGGCCAGATATCCCCTGGAGGATAAAGTGTCCCAGTTGAGAACTGCTGGGTAGAAGAAGAGCAAGGAAGCTAGCACTGCTGGAATGTAGCTATTTGAGGAAGAAATGTAATCAATGAGATCAGAGAAGGGGCCACAGGCAAGTCCACTGTTTTGGTTACCTAGTGCCGCTCTGACAAGAATATACCACAAATGGGATGGTTTGAAGAAACAGGAGTTTATTCTCTTACAGTTTGGAGGCTTTAAGTCCGAGTTCAAAGCGTAAGGCTCTAGGGGCTGGGTGAAAGCCCATCAACCTTGGGCTTCAGCTCTGCCTTCTGCTCCCGGCCCATTGGAGCTAGAGGCTTTTCTTCACTCAGACAGCTGCTGGCTGCTGAGGCTGAGAAGCCCCAAGGTTGGTAGCCAAGTAAACAGGCACAGTCCCTATGTTACCAAACCACATGGCAGGCCATTAATTCAAGTCCATTGAAAGTCCCAAGGTTGGCAGAGCATGGCAGGCTGCTAAACAATGACTCGGCTACATGCAGGCTTCAAGCGTGCCATAAGCTAGAGAACATTCCCTAAGGCTTCTCCTTACATACAGGAAGCAGACCACATCCCTAAGGCAGCTACTCAGCTGCTCACAGTAGATTCCACCATGGAGTTGATTACCAGTCTCATCATGGGGAACAATTACATCCAGCTGCCCAGCCACTCAACCAGGCGCAGCCAAGTTGACACACAAACTTAACTACCACAGCCACGTAGGTCTTTCTTTGTAGGCTGCAGTGTGAATTCTCAGGTTCTGGGAAGCCAGGGAGTGATATGATCTTTCATAGTTTTAAGAAGAGTGCCCTTGTGGCTGTGTGGAAATAGAATGAAAGTGGCAACAGTAGAAGCAGAGACACCAGGCCAGAGGTGATGGACTAGGCTGGGTGGGAGCAGAAGAGAGGGTAAGAAATGGTTGTATTCTGGATGTATGTTGAAGAAAGTTGCTGAAGAATCTGTGTTGCATGAGAGAAAGAGAAGAGGCAAATGTGACTCCATTATTTAATTACTTTGATTTTATTAGTCTGAACAACAGAACAGTAGGAGATACCAGTTCTCAGATGGGGAGGGCAAAGGAAAGGAAACAGCAATTTAGGGGCAGTCAAAAAGCTGTTTTTGGACATGTTAGGGTGGAGATGTGAATCAGCCATTCAAGGGGTATAAAAATATATAGCAGTTGGGTATAAGAATCTGGAGTTTAGGTCCACAAATAAAAATCTAGGAGTCATCATTCATTCATTAATTCCTTCAACAAGTATTAAGCACCAAGGGGTGGAATGCTTTGTGCTCAATTATTAACCTAAAGGTTGGTGGTTTGAACCCAGCCAGCAGTACCATGGAAGAAAAGCCTGGTAATCTATTTCTGTTAATGCTATTGTTTTTGTTGTTAGTTGCTGTTCAGTTGATTCCAACTGATGGAGACCCCTTGTGTGCCAAGGAGAATTGCTCCATAGGGTTTTCAAGGCCAAGAAAACATCATGGAACAGTTCTACTCTGTAAGACACAGTTTGCCATGCATTGGAATTGACTTAAGACCAATGGGTTGGGTTGAGTTTGGTTTTAACTTGCTAGGCACCATTCTAGGCACTGGGAATACATCACTGAACTCTCTCATTCAACAATTGAGAGAATGTGTCACTTACCTATACAACTTGTCCTTTTCTACTTACTCTCAACTAAAAACTGAACCCATTGCCATCAAGTTGAATTACAACTCATAGAGAGCCTGTAGGACAGAGGAGAACTTCCTCATAGGGCTTCCAAGTCTATACATTTTTACAGAAGCAGACTGTCACATCTTTCTCCCATGAAGCAGCTGGTGAGTTCAAACTCCTAAACTTTTGGTTCAAACTCTGAACCTTGGGTTTGAACCACTGACTTTTCAGTTAGAAGCTGAACACTTAACCACTATACCACCAGAGCTCCTTTGTGCTCCCTCAAGCCTCCTGAATTTGCCTGGGGCCTCCTGTGGTGATGAAGAGCTGCCTGGAGCTATTTATTTGGAGATCTCCCAACATTCAAGAGCAAACATTTGCCCATGAAAGAGTTTACAGGTGGAAAGGATAAAAAAAAAAAAAAATCACAACAAATTTCTCTGGACTCTGATCTAGTAAGTTCTGAGTACTAGCTCCTGAGCTCAACTACCATGGCTACTGACACCTTAACATTTTCTTGAGTCTGTCAACTTCTGGGGAAATTCCATAATTGTGGGCAGGGTCTGGGACAGAAAGGGAGTTACATCCACAAGTGGCAGATGGAGGCACGCAGAGAGCAGGCAAGTCTGCGCTGTGGAGGATGGGGAGGCACCATGCATCTGACTTTTCATAGATTGAGGACCAAACACAGCTGGCACTATGAATTGATTCAGAAGTTATGTGTCCCCTTTGTCTCCCCATCCCTCCTGCTGCCCAAGTTCAAGGCCATCTGCTATTCTATCTCCAGGGTCACACACTTTACGCTACCTCTTCATGGGTGCCTCAGAGCCAGACCTTGGGCTGCCCCTGTTTGAGGCTTTGGGCTACGTGGACGACAAGCTCTTTGTGTCCTATGATCATGAGAGTCGCCGTGCTGAGCGCCGCGCCCCGTGGGTCTGGAGCAAATCTTCAAGCCAGCTCTGGTTGCATCTGAGTCAGAGCCTAAAAGGGTGGGACCACATGTTCACTGTTGATTTCTGGACCATCATGGACAACCACAACCACAGTGAGAGTACGTGGGGAGGGGAACTTATCTTCCTGGGTGTGGTGGAGTGTCTCCTCAACTCAGAGATGCATTGCCCTACCTCAGAGATCTATCAGAGAGTTAGAGTATGAAGGCCTGGGGTGGGGGTAGGGGGACAGGGAAGGGGGTTGCTTCCTGAGGTACCCAGTGATCCCAGGGGATGGTGGAGACAGGAATCTACCTACTCTTTTGGTTTCAGTAATGAGGCTAGGGGTGCTGTCAGAGTCCCACACCCTGCAGGTCATTCTGGGCTGTGAGGTGCAGGAAGACAACTTCACCAGGGGGTTCTGGAAGTACGGGTATGACGGACAGGACCACCTTGAATTCTGCCCTGAGACAATGAATTGGAGAGCAGCAGAGCCCAGGGCCCAGGCCACCAAGCTGGAGTGGGAAGTGAACAAGATTCGGGCCAAGCAGAACAAGGCCTACCTCGAGAAGAACTGCCCCGAGCAGCTGCAACAGTTGCTGGAACTGGGGAGAGGGTTTCTGGACCAGCAAGGTAAGGTGGAGACACCCTTCTGCCCCCACACTCTTAGTGACTGAGTGGAGCAGGATGTAAGGCATAGGGTCCTGGGCTTGTGTTTCTCAGAGGTAGCCAAACTTGGTGGTTGTGTGACTCTTCCCAAGTTCTAGGAAGGGACTTTCTCAGCCCTGAGGTTGCCACCTCACAACTGTTGTCTTCCAAGAAGTAGATTGCCCAAATACCTCAGGTACTATGCCACTAGAGCTCCCAGTCTATTAATAGAGAACAGATGACTTGGCCAACAGGAATGTATTAGACAGGAAAACAAGGCTGATATGACTATGACTGACTTTTCTGCATGTGACATTATATCAGAACCAAGTCTTAGAACAAATTTTAGGACACAAAATGGTGTCTCTTCTGCAGCTGGCTTTGCTTGTAGAGTATTTCCTTCCTCCAACCCATGAAAAAAAAGGGAAGTCAAAGTTCCAGTCTTCCCAGCAAGGGTAAACAATTTCCTCTTCTCATTTTTCTTCTTTGCTGTCCAGTGCCTCCTTCTTTGGTAAAAGTGACTCATCACATGGCCTCTGAAGTGACGACTCTTCGGTGTCAGGCTCTGAACTTCTTACCAGAGAACATCACCATGAGGTGGTTGAAGGACAGGCAGCCACTGGATGCTAAGGAGGTTGAGCCTATGGATTTGCTGCTGAATGGGGATGGGACCTACCAGGGCTGGATGGTTGTGGCTGTGCCTCCTGGGGAAGAGCAGAGATACACCTGCCAGGTGGAGCACTCAGGCCTGGACCAGCCCCTCACTGCCACCTGGGGTATGAATAAGAATCAAAAGCTGAGAAAATATGTCATGGGTGGAATGGGGCTGGTGAGCATGGGGGGGTCTGCTTTGGGTTGGGAGGTGGGCTGGGAGTCACAATCATCGGCTTTCACTTGCTTTTGCTGTTTCAGAACCCTCACCTTCTGGCACCCTAGTCATTGGAATCGTCAGTGGGATCACTGTTTGTGTCATCATCTTCTTGAGTGGAATTCTGTTCAGAACCTTCAAGAAGAGACATGTTTTCAGTGAGTAGAAGAAGTCTCTTAGTACCTTTCCCCTTTGTCGTTCCAAAAACCAAACCAAATTCACTGCCATGGAGTTGGATTCGACTCATAGTGACCCTTCCTTGGATTTCCGAGGCTTTATCACTACAGAAGCAGATTGCCCAACCTTCCTTCCAAGGAGTGGCTGGTAGGTTTGAACCTCCAGCCTTCTGGTTAGTAGTCAAATGTCTTAGGCACTATGCCACAAGAGGTTCTCCTTTGTTGTTAGGTCCCACCAAGTCAGATTTCTAGTGACCTCATGTGACAGAGTAGAGCTGCCCCATAAGGTTTTCTAGCCTGTAATATTTGTAGCAGGAGCATATCAGAGGTCTTTCTCCCACTGGCTGGGTTCAAACTGCCAACCTTTTGGTTCACAGCCAGGTTATAGCCCAGTATTTAACCATTGCACCACCAGGTCTCCCTCTGCCCTTTGGGTTCTAAAACAGCAAAGGCAAGGGCACACTAATTCTCTTGCTAGGAAATGGTAAAAGGGAGGGCAGAAAGAGAGCAGAAGGGATTTGGCATCCATGGGAAGCCTTCCCTCCCTCTCTTTTTCTTTGGGGCACCAGCCACTTCCTAGGAGCAATTATTTTTTTTCCCCAGTAAGAAAATTCTAATCCAACAAACATCTTTTGAGCATCTACTACTTGCAAGGCACTATTTAAGTTAATAGAGGAGCTCTACTGGCACAATGGTTAAGGTGTTGACTGCTAACCAAAAGGTTGACAGTTTGAACCCACCAGCTAGCTGCTCATCAGGAGATAAATGTGGTAGTCTGCTTCCATAAAGATAAAACCAAAACCAAAACCCAAACTCACTGCCATTGAGTCAATTCTGACTCATAGCAACCCTCTTTGGGTTTCCAAGATGGTAAATCTTCACAGAAGTAGATCGCCCAGTCTTCCTTCCGCAGAGTGGCTGACTGGTGGCTTTGACCCACCAACCTCCTGGTTAGCAGTCAAATGCATTAGGCACGATGCCACCAGAGCTCCATAAAGATATACAACCTTGGAAAACCTATGGGGCAGTCTATTCTGTCCTGTAGGGTTTCCATGCATCAGAAGCAACAGGTTTGGTTTGATTTAAGGTAGTAAAGGAGCCATGGTGGCATGGTGGTTAAAGCACTCAGCTTCTAACCTAAAGGCAGTTTGAACCCACCAGCTGCTCCACGAGAGAAAGATGTGACAGTCTGCTTCCCTAAAGATTACAGCTTTGGAAACCCCATTCTACTCTGTCCTGTAGGGTCACCATGAAAAGGAATCAGCTCATTGCAATGAGTTTGGTTTATTTAAAGTACTAAGTTGTGCCTGGTGGCACAACAATTAAACGCTGGGCTTCTAATGGAAAGGTTGGCAGTTCAAACCTACTCAGCTGCTCCATGGAAGAAAAGACCTAGTGATCTGCTTCTGTAAAGATTACAACCTAGAAAACCCTTGAGGCAGTTCTCCTCTGTAAAATGGGTCACTGTATCAGAATCACAACATTTAAGGTAGTAGGGTTCTCTGGGTGGTGCAGACAGTTGAGTGCTTGGCTATTACTAACTGGAAGATTGTCAGTTCAAATCCACTTGAGGAGGCTTAGGAAGAAAAGCCTGGTGATCTACTTAAAGCTAAAGCTCACAATCATTGAAACGTCCTATGCAGTTTTACTCTGAAACACATGGGTTTGCCATCAATCAGAATTGAATTGACCAGAACTCTTTCTGTTATTTTGGTATTTAAGGTAGTACAGGGACTTAAAAAGGAAGGGGATCCTTTTCCTCCTATGAGTTTGAGGAAGGAGATACTTTTCTCAGGGAAAGTAGACACCACACAACTACAGTTAAAGAAGACACCCTCTCTAAGTGAAATATGAGGCAAATGCTCTGGAGTGTCAAAGGAAGGAATGACTGAGCACCTTTAGGGATCAGGAAATACTTCAGGGAGCTGGCTTCTAGAAGTGTATCTTTAAGGAGACATAGAACTACTTTAGGTGAGCTTAAGGATGAAAGGAGGTCTACAAGGTTGGAGCAACCATGCAAACAGGAGAATGTGAGGCATGATAGGAGGTAAGAAATAATTACTGTAATCTGTCTTTGATTTCACATACCTGTTAGGTATCAAGCTCTTCATTTCTATTTCCAAATATCTCTAGGGAGTTCTAGTGGCGTAGTGCCTTAGGCATTTGACTACTGAGAAGGCTGGCGGTTCAAAACCAGCAGCCACTCTTTGCAAGGGAGGTTGGGCAATCTACTTCCGTAGTGATACCACCTCAGAAAACCAAGGAGGGGGTCGTTATGAGTCGGATCCGACTCGATGGCAGTGTTTTGTTTTTTTTTTAAATATCTCTAATGTAGGGAGAAGAGATGGCCAGAAACCAGCTCATGTAGGACCCTAGGGGCCTGTTGGTATGGGGAATCATGAAAAGACATAAGCAAGGAGTGACAAAAACTTACATGGCCTAAAGAATGAGTTGTTAGGAGGTGAGATGGGAGGAGAGGAGACCAGTTAAAACCACTAAACAATTCCAGGGGAGCTCTGGTAGCGTAGTGCCTAAGGCACTTGACTGCTAATCAGAAGGTGAGCGGTTCGTTCAAACCCACCAAGCCACTCCTCAGAAGGAAGATAGGGCAATCTACTTCCCTAGTGATACTGCCTCGGAAACCCAAGGAGGGGTCACTATGAGGCGGGTCCGACTCAACAGCACATAACAACAACAACAACAAATTCCAGATGAGACATAATGGTACCTGAAATCTACTAGTAGCCTGCATTGAGAATTGTCAGAGTTGAGAGGGGTGGGTAAGTTTGGTGAGGAACAGAGAAGAGGTGAGGATGATTCCTAGGTCAGTAATGTCTCTTTACTGGTCTCTTGTCTCCACAGGAGGAATCATGCGGGACTATGTCTTAGCTGAAGGTGAGTGAAGTTCAGCCTGCAGACCCCTTGTGGGGAATAAATATGATTAGAGACTCAAAAAGAGGGTGAAATGGTGGAGCTCTCCATGTTTCAGGACAGAGGTGGATCTAATAAATAGACACTGCCCTAGGGACTCTCTGCTTTTAGCCTTCCTCATTGGCTCTCTCAAAGTTTTCCCCATTTAGATGTTTGAGTCCATGCATGCTAACAACTCCCAGCTGTGACCTCTCCCCTGAACTAGGCCTTGAATCTCAAGCTTCATCTAGAGCTGGCCTTTGTTTCCTTCATCAGCAAAGACCTCGTACACCTATGCCACCTCATCCTCTGCCTGTAGAAGAGGAAGCCTTAAAGTTTGGGAACTCAAGATCCCTTTTAATCCCCTAGAAAAGCAATGAACCTTGTCTCCATACCACTACCAGAGTTTTAAACATGCATCTAGGTATTTCTTGGACCTTTTCCCTTGCCCTCCTCCCCACCCCAAGTTTCCTTTGACTAGATGTCCAGTAACTCATCTGTCACCAAGGCCTGAGGTCTCTTCCTTTAAAGGCTGACCTGGTGTTTGTGCAGCTATGAAGGCTGTGTGGAGGCTCCTTTCCCACAGTGGCATCATGGATGTTAATGATGATAGTTTGTCAATAGTGAGTGTGCAAAAAGTGTCTTGAGGTGGTGTGTCTTTTTCTAATTTATACAATGGTGTCATATGGGTTTTCTCAGATTCTCAGATTAATGGTGCCTGCATTTGCAATACCTCTCCTGTATGCCAGACCTGAATGAAGTACCATACTGATTTTCTACTAGCTATCTGCTGACGCTCTCTCCTTATTCTGATAATGATAATGACAATAATAATAATAATGTTGCAGACACATATAAGAAGGAGACAAGGTGTCACAGTGGTTAAGCACTTACCTGCTAACCAAAAGGTCAGCAACGATGCTCCATGGGAGAAAGATGTGGCAATGTGTTGCTATAAAGATTTAGCCTCGGGAACACTATGGCGGCAGTTCTACTCTATTATACAGGGTTGCTATGAGTTGGAATTCGACTTGATGGCAATGGTTTTTTTGAGAGAACATTTATGAAAAAGCATTTACTTGGTGGAGCTCTGGTGGCACAGTGCCTAAGGCATTTGACTACTAACCAGAAGGTTGGTGGTTCAAATCCACTAGCCACTCCGTGGAAGGGAGATGGGGGAATCTATTTCTGTGAAGATTTGCTGCCTCAAGAAACCCAACGGGGGTCACTATGAGTTGGAATCGACTCGACGACAGTGAGTTTGGTAGGCCCTATTTACATGCATTATCTCATGAAATTCTTACAACAGTTTTATGAGGGAGGTACTGTTATTATCCCTATTTTTTCTTTATTTAAGAAGAGGAAGAAATGGTACAGAGTATCTTACAGCTTTATATGGGTAGAGACAGGTTTTGAACTCAGTCTGGCTCTTTGATCCATTTCACATACCACCACATTCAGATGATATCAATGCTTGGAGTAATGTAAAAAGAAGATTGCTGCTTGATGTGGGTGAAATATGAGAGGTCTTTTCCCCATTCGAAGCTCCTGGGTGGCACAAATGTTTTGCGCTTGACTACTAACCAAAAGATTTGAACCTACCAATTCATCGTAATAGGAGCTCTGGTAGCATAGTGCCTAAGGCACTTGACTGCTAACCAGAAGGCTGGTGGTTCAAATCCACCAGCCACTCCTCGGAAGGGAGGTTGGTCAATCCCACTTCTGTAGTGATACTGCCTCGGAAACCCAAGGAGGGGTCGCTATGAGTCGGGGTTGACTCGACAACCCATAACAACAACAACAATTCATCGTAATGGCTATCCGGTTCTGTGAAGATTACAGCTAAGAAAAGCTAAGAAAAGCTCAGTTTTGCTCTGTCATACCATGAGCCAGAAATGACTCACAAGTAATGGTTTTGTTGTTTGTTTTTTACCCATTCAATTCTCTTTTCTCATTGTGTTTCTTCTCAGTGAACTTGACCCAAATGAAGGGAAAAGTGCAGAAAACAACCTACTGAACTTCGGCTGCCATATTTCCTTAGGATTTTGCTGTGGAAAGGACCCTGTAATGTGTCTTTCTTACTCCTCTCTTCCATCACCAGTATCTCTTTGGTCCTTAGGCCAAGGCTGTGACTGGTAATGTCAGCGAATGGCTCTGTTTGGCTCAACAGTGTACTCCCTTGGCCAGTGCCTCCAGGGTCAGAACCCTGGTGGTATTTTCCTTGATGAGCTGGAGCACCCTCTCTCACATTAAAAACTATGAAACAGATGCTAACAAGTGGCCAGGAAAATGCTCCAAGCATCTTCTTAGCGTTGCTGGAGTTCCAGTTCTCATCCCCAACTGTGCACTAAACTAGCCAAGTCACTCAAGAATTACTGGATTCTTGGAAAGTAATCTGCCTTACCATGTTCAAAGAATCTTAATATATACATCCATATGCCATAAGCAGCTATATGTATTTGGCTGCATAACAGTGGGACAGGACATTCTGTCTTGGAGGCCAGGTGCTTCAGGAGACCAAATACACCTCAGAAGGTTGTGTAATAGTGTTATGGACTGAAGTGTTAATACCCCCAAAGATAAGTTGAAGCACTAACCCCTGTATCTGTGCACGTGAGCCTGTTTGGAAATGGAGTCTTTGAAAATGTCAGTTCATAGGAGGTCATACTGAAGTAAGATGGGTCCTAATCTTTTCTTACTGGTCCTTATAAAAGAGGAGAAGATACACTGAGACAAGGAGGCAGAGGAAAGACATCATGTGATGCTGTAGCTGCCAGCCAAGAAATCCCTGGAACTACCAGAAGCTAGGATAGAGGCGTGGATCCGGTTTTCCCTCAAAGGCTCAGAAGAAATCGACATGACTGACACTTCCATCTTGGAATCATAGCCTCCAGAACTGTGAGAAAAAAAAAAAAAAATTCTTAAAAGCCACCAAATTTGTGGTATTTTGTTACAGTAGCACTAGAAAACCAATATAGGTAAGCACTGAACTTGAGTCTCAACAATTTTTTTTCAATTTCTTTTTTTCTGACTGTCCAAATGATATGGAAAAAGTAATTTGTGCTCACTTTAGAAAATTTGAAAAATGAATAAAATAAAAACTAACGTAGTAATAAATTCTATTAGCATTTTGTATTTAATCTCTATTGTTATTACAACAGAAAATGAACAGATAAATATATGTTAATAAATGTGTATTTGTGTACTGCATGATTTTACTGATTTTGTAGTTGTCCATGTTATATATATATATATATATAATCATTAACTCAGTGTTAGGCCATTTATATTGCTAATTTTTTTACATTTTGTTTTACTAAATATTTTCATTAAACTCTAGTAACTGAACTAATTGGTTTTGTTTTTTGGTTATAGGGACATTATCATCTAAGTTGTAATACACTGGTCATTTTTACCCCAAACTAAGGTACTTGACTGCTAACCAGAAGGCTGGAGGTTCAAACCCACCAGCCACTCCTCGGAAGGAAGGTTGGACAATCCACTTCCGTAGTGATACTGCCTTGGAAACCCAAACCAAACCCACTGCCGTCCATTGGATTCCAACTCATAGCATCCCCCTTGGGTCTCTGAGCAGTAAATTTTTACATAAGTAGATTGCCCTCTCTTCCTTTGGCAGGATGGCTGGTAGGTTTGAACCATCAACCCTCTGGTTAGCAGTCAAATACCTTAGGCACTGCACCACCGGAACTCTTTGTAGTATTCTTCTAAAACCAAACTCATTTCCATTGAGTTGATTCTGACTCATAGCAACCCCCCCTTGGGTTTCTGAGGTGATAAATCTTTACGGAAGTTTAAGTTGCCCAGTCTTCCTTCCATGGAGTGGCTGGTGGGTTTGAACCACCAACCTTCTGGTTAGTAGCCAAATGCCTCAGGCACTATGCCACCAGAGCTCCTTTGTAGTCTTCATAGTAACACCTTAGCAACCATCAGCAACTAGGGCCTGTTAATTTTGTGTTATAATAGAAATTATAAACCTCCATCTCCTTTTAGTTTTTCTTAGTCTAACTTTTCTGGCTTTGTTCCTCTATTCTTAAGGTCAACATTTGAAAAATCAAAGAATCCCTACATTTTACAATCTGTTTTATTTTGCCTCTGGCAAAACCACCCATAAACAGAAAGTGCTAGTAAGGAGAAGAGTGACATCTGGTGGCCATGGTGAAATGTATCCCAGTGCTCACTCACATGTCCAAGAGAAAGACCCAGTTGTGGGGTTTTCCTGACAGGAAAGGTCTGGAGCAGAAGTGGGGCACTGGAGATCATTTGGTGCAGAAAAGGCACAGAAAATAAAATTGAGGTTTTATTAATGAAATAATGGGCAAAATCACTGCCATCAAGTCAGATCTGACTCACAGTGACCCCTCCTTGGGTTTCTGAGGTGGTATCACTATGGAAGTAGATTGCCCAACCTTCTTTCTTAGGAGTGGTTGGTGTGTTTGAAGCACCAGTCTTCTGATTTGTTTATAATGGGCAAAATTGAGTTGGGTAAAAGCCCACCTAGACCTTCTTTTTAAATAAAGATGGCACACTTTGGCTTTTTCCATGAAATTACCATTTTGTATATACTCTATGAATTAAAGGAGCTCTGGTAGCATAGTGCCTAAGGCACTTGTCTGCTAACCAGAAGGCTGGCAGTTCAAATCCACCAGCCACTCCTGGGAAGGAAGGTTGGGCAATCCTACTTCCGTAGTGATACCACCTCGGAAACCCAAGGAGGGGTCGCTATGAGTCGGGGCGACTCGACAGCAAATAACAACAACAACAACTATGAATTAAAATGTGTGTTGGGATTTCAGAGCTTCCCCAATGACCTCAGCCCTTGCACGTTTTCTATGTAATGTTTGACAAAACTGCCTAGCTGGATCTCCTCTAATAAGGTGTGTGTTTGTAGTGGGCAGCAGGTAGTGAGGGTCAAGAACCTAAAAATGCTCAATCTGGGGCCTGAGGGGTGTAACTACTTAATTATTTCAGATGTGTCACATACCATATGCCATCTAGAACTTTCCTACCCTTTTCCAATCTTCCAAGTCTTTTCTCTCCCTCACCTATCTGGGTCTTCTCTCTTCTCATGTAAGCAAGTTGTTTCTCTCAGGCCACAGTCTCATTCTAAGTATTCATAATAGGCAATTATTTATTAAGTAGGATAAGGGTGGTTTTTAAAAAAAAAAAAAAAAAACCCAGTGATTCTTACCATGGAAATTTCAAAAGCTGCAGCAGGAAGCTAAGAAAAAAATGATTTCAGAAGTCTCTTTAAACCACAGTCAAATCCATTCTGCTGTTTTTCTTTCCACCCCCCCCCTTTTCTTTTAATGGGATTAGCCCTGTTTAAAACACCAATAATCTTATCAAAGGCCTCCCACAGGCAGACCCTGAGGGCTTTGCAATGACCTCAATCGAGTATTAGCCCTACCATTCAATTAATCCCCAACTCTACAAAATGCTCCTGTCTCTAAAACTGGAGCAGTTTGAATAGGAGAAGGGAAATTTGTTGATTGCTGTTGATTGCACGCTGACCAGACAGGCACAGTGGGGCCAGAAGGGAGTCCAAGCTCAACTGTTTAACCAACTTTAGCTTTATGCTCCTTGTTTCTCTCCTAGACTTCAGAAAAAGGAATACATAGATGTAGATATATAAAAGGAATTAAAAAAAATAATTGAGACAGTGAGGTTGAAGAGGAAGAAGTGAAATAGTGAATTAGAAGAGGAAGACTTTTAAACTGACAAGGTTTTAATATGCAATTATCTACCCTTTTGTCTTTCCAAACAGAGGGCTTTGAGACCTTTAGGGAGAAGATTCCTTTATGGCCAGGTTTCCACTTTGTCAATCACAGAGAAGCATGTCAGAATGGAATAACTCATTGCCCTCAACTCTATTCTCATAGCTACGCCGGAGGTCAAAGTAGAATTGTCTCATAGGGTTTCCCAGGTTGTAAATGTTTGTGGAGCGGTCAGCCTCGTCTTTCTCCAGAGGCGCTGATGGTGGGTTCTAACCGCCACCCTTCCGATTACCAACCCAGTGCTTTACCATTGCGCCACTTCTTTTCAAAATAGAATACAATTATTAAAAGGAGTGACAAGGAAAGCTCCTTGACCTTACATTAGACATTAGTTCCATTTTCCCCCAGGGAATTAGCTATTAAGTGGAAATAAATGAAAAAGAAACGTGGGATGGGGCTCTTAGCTCAGAGTTTTTAAACTGATGAGAATATTTTCAACTTGCAAATGCGCATTGTAAAATGACTAACGATAAACAAGATTTTCAGCCCGATGAACTCCGTGGCTCTCCATACAGACGGCCCAACCGAGCGCAAGTTTCACTGGCGAATCAAAACATTGAGATTTCAATAAAACATCCGCCTCTCTTTGATCCCTCCCTGCTTGGTGACCTAAATCAGGGAGAAGAAAAAAAAAAAAAAAAAACACGCCCCCCCCAGCCGTGGTGTTCAATTAGGTCCGCACAAGTACTATTTAAAAGACTGCGACTAGCTTATGCTACTTCTCCTTGAGCAACCATGTCTGGCCGAGGCAAAGGAGGTAAAGGGCTAGGGAAAGGGGGTGCCAAGCGCCACCGCAAAGTTCTCCGCGATAATATCCAAGGGATTACCAAGCCGGCCATTCGTCGTCTAGCTCGGCGAGGAGGTGTCAAGCGCATCTCTGGTCTCATTTACGAGGAGACCCGCGGAGTGCTGAAGGTCTTCCTGGAGAATGTGATCCGAGACGCCGTCACCTACACCGAGCACGCCAAGCGCAAGACAGTCACTGCTATGGACGTGGTGTACGCGCTGAAGCGGCAGGGGCGCACCCTTTACGGCTTCGGGGGTTAAAACTGGAGTCAAATTTACCATTATTCTTATAAAAGGCCCTTTTCAGGGCCGCCCACAAGATCACATAAAGGGCTGACCTGCACTACAAGAGTAATTGATTTCCTTGTGGCTGCTAAACGTTAAGGGGTTTCGCCACGCTAAAGTGGTAAGAGTTTTTACAATTACAGTGCTTTATATATAAAAGGGGCTTTAAAAAACTAAACGAATACGACAGATGTGAGCGTCAAAAATGTAAATGAAACGCTCCGTAAGAAACCGCGCATACTCAATGCTCTTGAAAGCACCGTCAAGCTCCTAGGCATCACCGGGTGGCTACAGGCCATCATAGCATAATGCAGTGCACAGTGCTATGTAAATGAAGGGTCGTCGAGACAGGTTCTCATTGGGTGGCACTCTGTGTGGTCCGGAAAAACGACACAGATTGCGGAGCTTTTCTATTGGCCAAAACAACTAAGGAACAGACGTGCAAAACCTTGCGTGGTTGTTAACGTGTTTTTAACCCGCTGTATGCCAGGAGCCAGTAGCGTAGGCGTATTGCCTCTAGACAGGTCCCCATCTCGCTGGGGTGCCTCGCTGGCTGCCGGGCAAGAAGAGGCCAGATGTTCATCCTTGGTGGCAAGAATCAGTCCACTGCTGAGATCATCAGGCGTTGGGCAACTGAAGCATATTTTTGCACATCTTCACAACTCCAATCTCATAGGTAAACAATGACCACCAAATCCCAGCAAAGTATGGGCTATGGATGATTGAAATTGAAAGCATTATAAACGTTATTATTACTATTTTCCATCTTAGGATACAGTTCAATTTTCTATTTTTTTAATTAAAAGCAGCTCAGTTAAATGAGTCTTCACAAAGGTCCTATCTTGGTGAACCATGTATAAAAATGCACTGCATAGTTTTGCGTTGGACTTTTTCAAAGTCACCCGGAATACTGAAGCCCAAAATATGGTTAGAAAGATTAGCAAAAGGAGCCCTGGTAGCAACAGTGATCCAGTTGCTAACCTAAAGGTTGGTGGTTCAAACCCACCCAGAGGCTCAGTGGGTAAAAGCCCTGGAGATCACACTCTGGTACAGATTAAACCAAAAAAAACTAAACCTATTGTCAGTGGAGTTGGTCCCAGTTGGACTAAGAAAGCCTGGTTATTGTTAGTTGCTGGATTCCAATTTCTGGCAACCTCATGCTTGAAGAGCAGAACTCCATAAAACCAAAAACTAAACCCATTGCAGTGAAGTCAATTCCTACTCTTGGACTCTGTGGGACAGAGTACAACTGCCCCCATAGGGTCTCCAAGGCTGTAAATGGTTACAGAAGCAGACTGCCTCATCTATTTCCCATGGATCAGCTGGTGGGTTTGAACTGCTGACCTTTCAGTTAGTAGCCCAGTGCTTTAACTACACCACCATCAGAACTCTTCACTTCACCAGCAAGGCTCCAGAATAGATTACAGCCTAGGAAACCCTACGGGGCAGTTCTACTCTGTCACTTAGGAGCTCTGGTAGTATAGTGCCTAAGGCACTTGACTGCTAACCAGAAGACTGGCGGTTCAAACCCACCATCCAACTCCTCTGAAGGGAGGTTGGGCAATCTACTATCCATAGTGATACTGCCTCAGAAACCCAAGGAGGGATCATTATGAGTCAACAGCACATAACAACAACAACTCTGTCACTTGGCTACAGCTGATTTAGACTCCAAGGTACTGACCATTAGTATAGATTTAACATTTAGGATTATTTTTAAGAATGTTAAATCACAGATCAAGTGAAAATTTTAGTATTTCTTAAAAGGAAAAAGTACTTGGACCCTGAATGTTTAATAAGTTAGCTTCATGATTTTTAGGAATCTTTCATTCAGATGCTAACTGTATGGCCTACAAAATGTCCATAAAAGTTTTGGGTTCAGCCTGTGGAGTATTTTGGCAGTCTGGTGAAGTTTATAGACTCTTTTTACAAATAAAATGCACAAGATTAAATTTGAATTAAACCAAATATATAAAAATAATAAAACTTTTTTTAAAATTCAGACAGTAATATATGAACTTATTAATAAACAGCATCTAATTTCTTCTATGGGAGCTCTGGTAGCATAGTGGCTAAGGCACTTGACTGCTCACCAGAAGGCCGGCGGTTCAAACCCACCAGCC